TATATTTCTTTCTTCCATGGATGTGTATATGCATCTACATTTGCATCAGGAAAAATGTTTAATTTAAAATTTCACTGTTCTTGTACATCATGAAAAACACACAATTTTATGATTTTTCAGAAAAATCTTTTGGTGCACATAATTTCAAGTTGCAGAAGACAAAAATGATTTTGAAATCTAGAGAGCACTCAAATGCATGCCATGAGAAGCTGGATATTTTCTTAGCTGAATCTGGTCATTAAAAAGTTTAGTTTGTGGGGAAGTGTAGGTGGAGATGTTAATATTTCTTTCATTACTCAACTAGAAATTTGAAAACAATGTAAAAAATTTCCTGTGTCCTGAGAGTGCCTAGGTTAAATTTCAATCTTTTAATACAACAGTCTTACACAAAGCAAGTAGAACATGGAAGTTCATACAGAGAAAATATTCTGACCCTGAGCATTTCAAAGTCTGATTTCTGTTTTCTTTGTGCAGTTTTACTTAGATTAATACAGCCTGAAGAGATCAGAGATAGTAGATGTTGTTCTTTCTTTTCATATAGCTTTCTTCTTCATACTGCAAACTGACCTCATCACAGATCGTTGTAATTTGATTGGATTAAACTAAACGGAGGTGTTGGGAAGGACTTGGAAAGACAAAGGAAGAGCATTCCTTGGCTTCTCCTTTTGTCAGGGTTATATTTCCAGGAAAACTTCAAAGACCTGTTGAGGTGCAAAGCTTGTGTGAAAGTTTCTTACTCTACATGAAAATGCTGTTGCTGTGTGAAAAATAATAGTCTTGCTTTCTGGGAGCATCACTTTGTGTGCAGCTGTCATAAGATTCCAAACTATTTTTGTGTGTTGTGTAAATACCTGGTATTTTATTTCTGCCCAGTGTAGGCTTCAGATAACTTATTTTGAAAATACAAACGATTTAACTGTTTTTCAATTTAATGCTACTCAAATCAACCTGCATATAAGAAAATTAGGAAGCATTTGATATCCAAAAGATGCGTTCTCCCCTTATTCCATTTCACCCACTGTGTTCTGAAATGGTGCAACCCATTCTGCAACTGCAAATCCCCAAAGTTTGAACCGCTTCTTAACTCCTAAGCAGTGGTCACAGTTAGGCAATATTTTCTGGCAGCTTTAATAAATGGAGTCAGTAGAAGAAGAGGATCATTGTGGTAATTATCATAATATAGCAGTTATAACAGTAGTTTCCATTTGTGTGTTTCTAAAGCTGAATAAATAACACCTTGTAGGTGCTGTTGAAGCAGACAAATTGTCCCTGTTGTTCTTCAGGCAGGCAAAAATGCAGGTGGTGAGGACGGTGCTTTTCCCAAGAGTGTGTCCTTCCAGGCCAGCACCAGCACCCTCTATCCAGTTGTTGCAGTAGTTGTTTGGAAATGATGAGTTGTTCCTATGACCTCATTTTGGAATAACTTCAGTGCTTCCCTCTGGCACCTGGTGGCTGCTTGCTTTCTTACTAAGGTTTATAGGTGCTGACACTAGAGATGTTACCCGGAGTTCCCAAGACAAAGCTGCATCCATGCCTTGAGATTTCTGTTCCTCTGTTGTTGACTTGTGCATGTGAAGCAGAACTTATGTTCATTTTTTTTGCTACCCTGTTCACATGATCTTTTGTTAACTGGTCTTTTTCAGCTGGAAAACACTATTGCCTACTAAGGAACTGTAACTGACTTCTACAAAACATTCTTGCCACTTCATCAGTTGAATGTTGTTCACATAGCTGTATTTACAAAGTTGGTTGATCCCAGCTCCTACCACTTAATAATCACAATTTAATAATAATTCAAAATTGTAATATAAAATGTACAAAGAATACACCATTTATATAAGGATTTTAATACATTAACACACCAGCTGTAGGATTAAAGCTAGTGTCCACATGTGGAATGAAAAAATGAGGAATACTGGGAATCTTTCACTGATACCTTATACTGAAATTTGGGTTCAGTAGGTATACAGAGGTCAGTATATGCAGTGGTGAACAGCACATATAGTATAGTAGATTGGGGAGAAGGGGGAAATGAATAGGGAAAGACAGAGTTATGAATTCAAATTAAACCACTGTGGGATGAAATTAAATGTGCTTTTGGTGTTTCATCCCAAATCAGATGATACCACATATATTTGTCCTATGAGAAGATAAATTTTTGTGTGTGCTGTAGATAAATAACTTTTTGGTTAAGAAAGAAATATTTGTGGTGAATTAAACCTCCGTACAAATTGAAAAAAATTCAAAATGTAGTTCTGTTTTTTATTTTGTGGGACTGCCAGTAAAGGAACCTATTAACTATCTTAAAAAGACCAGTGAAATAGGGTTCATGCCAGTTGCAATTTTGAAATTAAAATTAGTGATAATGATACATCCCCACCGGGTTAGGTACAAGTTGTAGATCTCTTTTCTACAAGAAAATTCTCATGAGTGTTTGTCCCCCTTTTCACTGGAAATGTGTATTAACCGCTTCTGGAAACCATAGGTGCAGTTACACTGTAAAATCAGATCCTGCAGCTGCTGTTGGGAGTCAGCACTGCCTCAAACCTAGCAGAATCCAGGTAAGAAAAGGTAGTGAAGGAGGTTGGAATAAGACCCTTTTCTTCATGATCCTCACTGGGCTTCTCCACTGGCTTCCTTCAAATGCCAAGTGGTTTCCAGGCAGGCTTCTGTTCCCATACCCAGCCCAGTACCTTTGTTTCAGGTGCTTATAAAGGCACAATGCAGTTCTCATGTTACCTTGTTCAGGATCAGGACCAGAACCCCACTCTGGTGGCCCCCCAGGAGGACAGCTATAGCCATGTTCAATCTCCAGGAATGGCACCAGCAGTATCAATCTTTTGGGTTTTCTGTAAAGAACTCAGGCTTTTTTTTGGGTTTTCTTCCTAAGGATAAAGATTACCTTTTTTCCCCACTAGGTTTCTACTTCTCCTAAGCTTTAACAGACTTGTTTTAACAATCAGGAAGAGATGTAAACTCAGAAATTTTGCTTTTATTTTGTGTAAGTTCCAAAATTTAAAATTAGCATGCAAGAGAGGCTTGCAGCTTTTTCACAGCTTTCCCTAGAGCTTTTATTCTGCTTAGAAGTTATGTGTTGTCAGGGTTTAACCCCAGATGGCAACTAAGCCACTCACTCCATCCCTCAACAGTGGGATGGGAGAGAGAATCGTAAAAATGAGAAAACTCCTGGTTTGAGATGAAAATACTTTAGCAGGTAGAGCAAAAGCTGCTTATGCAAGCAAAGGAAAACTGGGAATACATTCACCCCTTCCCATTGGCAGGCAGTTGTTCAACCATCACCAGGAAAATTTGGCTTCATCATGGGTAATGGTGACTTGGGAGGACACATGCCATCATTCTGAGTGTTCTCCCCTCTTTCTCCTTCTTAGCATGATGCCATATAATCTGGGACATTCCTTTGGTCAGTTGGGGTCACCTATCCCCTCCCAGCTCCTTTTGCACCCCCAGCCTCCTCAGCAGTGGGGTGGGGTGAGGAGCAGAAAAGGCCTTGACTGTGCAAGCCCTGCTCATCAATAACTAAAACATCCCTGGGTTATCAACACTGTTTCCAGCACAAATCCAAGCCACAGACCCATACCAGCTACTCTGAATAAAATTAACTTTACTCGAGCCAAACCCAGTACATATGTTCAAATGTGTTTCTACAGCTATTGTTAGAGAAGAAGGGGAAATAAATCTTTATATTACAATTCTGTCCCTCACTGTTCAACATTGCATCTACTCACAGGAATACTGGATAATTATTCTTTGGTGTGCTAAATAAATACGTTTTGTCAAAACAAAGACTTGAAAGTTAATGAATAGTTACTGCATTAGAGGTTTGAAAAATATTTCTAGGAAAAATGGTTGGGAATTTTTCAAAGAAATAATTTTCTGTCAGATCAACTTGTAAAATAATGGAAACTTCTTATGAAAAGCTTGTACAAGCAAATGAAAAGTTGTGAAATTGCTGAAATGCTATGTTTTGAAACAATGCCATTTTCCTACTCTGAAACCACTTGTTTAGAAATTCCACTTTGGTTAGGATTTTTTAGCTTAGTTTTTTTTAAAAATTGGTAAAGCAGAATGCTTAAATTGATCCAAGTGGGATTCACTTACAATGTTTTCATTTGTTGTGTTCTTGTCTTGTTGATATTTTCACACTTCTTGCAGCAGTGAAGTTTAGGAAACGTTTTAAACATGGGTGATCAGGAAGCACATTTTTTAAAAATGTAGGCGTTTTGTTTCCTGTTTTTGATAATTTTGTTTGAAGACTTTGTCAATTTTGTTTTAACATATTTAGATATTTAAATTTAGGGCCTTTTTATGCTTCACCTTAGGAGTACATGAGCTACATAGTGTCACAGTGATCCAAAACCACATTTCTCACATTACCTGGCAGCGGAGAGAGAGAACACCATGGACAGCGTGTCCCGTGACAACAGGCAATGCATGAAAATACGGCCTTGTGTTTATTTAAATGTTGTCATTTTCATATGCTGGTGGCTCTCTGCATCCCATAATCACATGTCCAGTAGGAAGGAACCCCCTTAAAGCTACCTTCAGACCTCCCTCTGATAGTTCCTGAATGCTTTGGCTCTGCGAAGCCAGGCCATGGGGAGCAGCCTCACTGCCTGATCTGACACCCTTCTGCACAAAGAGATCCTACTCAAGCAAGAGCTTGAAAGGGAAAAATGCAACTGCTAAGTCGCTGACAGTACTCAGAAAATACAAATACCAACCCTTATTGCCTGTGGTTTAGAAGGGTAAGCAGCAGGGACTGATGATTAAACGGCTACACCAAAGCTTTGATCTGCTTTTGTGACACTGATGCTCCGGTGAAGATCAGGGTGTGTACCCTGATCTCAGGTGCTCTGCCAGCACAGAGAAGTCCCTGTCCTAATGTTTCCTCAGTGCAGTACCCTGAAGACTTAATTAGAGAAGGAATGTGTGACAGGAAAAAGAGGACAAGACGGCAAATGTGACAATGCAGAACAGTATCAACAGGAAACTGCATGTTTTAGAGACAAAAGTTATCTTGTTATCTTGGTTGTGATGTATCTCCTGCTGGCCTGCAATGGGTGACAGCTCAGGAAAATCCAAACGTTTAGCAGTGTCTGTCCCTTCAAGTCTGTGCTGAATCACATCAGAGGCTGTAACACCACCAGCATGGTGGTAGGAGAACAATGTGTTATTGTTAGTATTGTTGGATAAGACACAAACCCAGAATCTTAACCACAGAATATTAAATCACCTCTTTTGGCATGAATAGATAGGTTTACTAAGGGCCCTAATCCAGTTCTAATTTACGTTATTATCTTTTGTGCCTCTAAACACTTCCTGTAGTTTTGATTAGATTTGGTCCTGTTTTCTTCTTTTCCTTGGAATATAAATGATGAGAACAAACCATGCTGCACTGATATCTGAACAGGTTCTTATTTTCAGGACTGTGGTTTTTTGCATCAGAAGCAAAGAAAGGAATCAAATTTACCATGCACGACGTAGTTTCTCAGTACTTGATCAGGATTATTGTATCAAATCCAGTGTAATTACTGATTATGCCATTACAATTAAATAGTATTCCACATGCATGAGATATAAAATATAGACTATCATCTGTACAAGGTTATTGAGATTAAGATGCTCTAGCAGAGACTTTTTATTTTAGGACAGTTCCCATTAGCCCACATAATATCTGAAATCTTACACATCTGAAGATAAGCAAAGTGCTGAAACTGAGCGGTTCTCTGTGGCTGTTTTAAGATTACCCAATTAAATACCACCAAAAAACAATCAAACAAAAAAACCTCCAAACAGGCAAACAAAAATGAGAGAATATGGCAAATTTGAGATTCTTTTTATGTACTGTGTGTTGTATTCCAAGTTTGATTCTGCTAAAAAAATATTTCTTGAAATTACAACAAAATTTACGTGTGGTGCTTATAAAATTGCTTCAGTGTTTGATCCTTGATTGGTGTTCATTTTAGATGGTTTAAAAGAGAAGCATGGAATTTACATGAATGATTAAATGAAATCAAGATGAAGGAATGTAGCTGGTGCTGCCCACATATTTTCTCTGCCTGTTATACAGCATGAAATAAAGTTCATTGAAATCAGTGGAATGAGTGAACTTTAGATAATGGTCCAAGCTCATTGCTTATTTAAAAATAATTTATAAAGCTTTGCTTGACCTGTGACAGAAAATGGGATTTCTCATTTTGCAAAGTTCAAATAAAAGCTTAAAATGGCAAATAAACTTAGGTTTTCATTTTCAAGCTGGAAGAACTGCTGCTGTCTGCACCTCTCTTTCAGCAGGGCTTGTTGTGTCCATAATTTCTTATTGTAAAAAATCCCAGTGTATATGGGGAAAGTGCTCCTTCAGTAAAACATTACCACAGATTGGCATTTCTCCCCATCCCGAGCTAAGAGAGATATGGAGAACAGCAAGGTGTAAGAAAGGAAGTGGAAAAGAGGTGATACCAGAGAACATTTCCTCCTTGTCTTTGTCTTCTTCACCTTCCACATTTTCTTCCTGCTGTTGTGTCATCTCCTAAGGATCTGCAGTTGATTCATCTCTCATCCGCATTCCTCTCGGATGATCCATTCCCTCCTGAAGGAATGTGTGATGGTGGTCAGCCACCACGGGGTTAAACATGAGGGTCTTTTTTGTACATGGGTTACAACTGCACCCTAAATGATTTAGGTTTATTGCTTTCTTCTCCTATGCCCAAGAGTTTCCCAAAAAAAGTAGAGACAGTAAGACCGCTACATTCTTCTCTTCTTTTCTCTCTTCTCATTCTTCCCAAGAGAGAGGTTTCACCAAAGTCTGTTTCCTCTTCCCTGCAGTCCTGCAGCCAGTGCCCACCCTGCTCAGAGCTGCAGCACCTTGGTGCAAGTTGGATCCTTCATAGATAGGGCTGTGGACTGTCTGCCGATCTGGGGAGAAATTTGGCAGGCCAAACCCGCAGTCATGAGGGGACAGCCATGCTCTTCTTGTGCAGGTGCAGCCCTGGGAGGGTGGGGGTTAAATGACAGGGTGCACCTGGAGCAAGATGAAGTGCTCAGCAGCAGTCCTGTCCTAGCAATACTGGCTCTTCCAGTCGTCCCTGGAGGCACTCTGGCTCTTCCAGTCTTAGCTGGAGGCCATGGTGGGATAAGTGGTGGACTGGGGGAATAGTCCTTAGGCTGCTCCTCTGGGGTTCTGGCTGCAGATGCTGATAGCCTCCCTTCTGCAATGGGAAATAGCTCTGCTTTTTCCTGCTCTGTCACATTAGAGCTCACCAGAGTAAATTCAGCAACTGCTGCAAAAGATTTAAAAATAAATGCAAGCTAAATTAAGATCTCTAAGATAAAAACAAAACAAAATCCAGGAAAAATATAAAAATTTTGCATGTAAAATATTTTTTAAAAAATCTGAAAATCAGACTTTCACTCACATGAATTTACATTTTTGCACTTCATGACATCATTTGCACAGAAAATATAGGATCTCAGAGCTTGCAAAATGAGTAAAAATAAAACAGGGAAATATTTTTCTTATCCTCTTACAGTTTTTCAAATCATGTATTTTTTTTTTGATTATAAATAGCTAAATCAACAAACTTTACTGACCAGGGATGTTAAGCACACTTTCGTTGTTGACTTTTGGAACTATTTAAACTCCTGAGTGCTAAAAATTAAAATTCCCCCTGGGAAAGCTTGTAGCTTTCAGTGGACTTTGTTGAAGTCCCCAATAAGAAGTAGTTAATAGGGAGACTGTGGTGACTCCAGCAAAACAACATAATCAATTCCATCTGCTTTTCTGATTAATCACCCTTATTATTGGAAGTCAGGGACACCGTGAATTTGCACAGTAAGCATATATTTTGAAAAGGAGGATAACAGTTTGTTACCTTAGTTGTAGTCAATTAATCTGACTCCTCTTTTTTCCCCTCTCAGAGAAAACCTGGGGCCAGCCACCCCCCTGCTCAGTAGCTGATCTCTACTCCCCAGGCACCCTGTGCTCCAGTGGCAAGGACAACAAATACCCTGATTTTTTTTTATTTTTTTTTTTTTTTCTGGTTTACCAGTTTTGCTTGTTCTTTTCAGAAACGGAATAGTTAAAAGGAATGAATAGAACATTCTGTTTGGGACTTCAGTTTTCCAAAATAAAATATGTAAGTGAGGGAAAGGTTTCATTCAGTTTTGGCATCGCTTTGTTAAGTCAGTTTAAGCCAAGAAAGATTGTTATTCCACACTGTTTGCTGATAGTAGAAAGTTTACATATCAAACTGCTTTTTTTTTTTCTGGGGAAAAGAAAAAAAAAAAATCTGTATGAATTTAGGGGACTGATCTCTTATTTGCTTTGCAGAAGAGATTGTTCTGTTAACAACTCATCAAGAAAGAAAGGAAAAAAAAAAAAAGATAAACAGGATTAACTGTTTACTTTAAGTGAGCTGAAGTCGGGTTGTTTTTCCGAAGAAGAACACAATGTACTGTTGTATCTGGTTTCCAGAGTGGTGTTTATCATAATTCCTCCTGCAGTGGTTGGTAGAGTGCTGGGAAGGCTCTCCGCCCACTCGCAGCTCGCTCCCTTTCCCTCTCCCATTGAGGCCTCCGGCCAGGACTGCGAGATGCAGAGGGCTGTCCTGTGTGATCTTTAGTGCCTGACATGAGCTGACATTGACCGAGAATAAAATAACAGGGGCCGTTTCCTAGAACTCTCAGAGGACTGCTGAGAACTGCTACCATAACTCTTGTAAACACACGGCACACGCACACAAACACGCTCCCTCTCCCTCATTTAGAAACACACCTAGGACAGGCAGCCGCTAACACGGAGCGCAGGAAAACAGCGTGAGTGGAAAACACAACCGGCAGGCCCTGCGAGAAAGCGGAAAATTGCCTTTCTGCTGGGTAGGGAGCCCTGGCAAGATTGCACTTCTGCTTTTCTTCTTGGCTCTTTGCTCTGCCCTTGATTTTTTGATGAATGTTATACTTTTCTGCTAGTTCAGTGGGATGATGTGGCACTGACACAGCAGAGTATCTTACTGAATACAGCCACAGCTGTGTAAGAAATCCTGCAGGGTTGCTATATTTCATTTACCTTCCCCATGCCATAGAAAGTGCATGAGCAGTGCTATACTACCAAGAATAAGATTTAGGATGATCTGTGCCTACTGAAATGGGCAGGGGGTTTTTAAATACTCACTGCATGTTAATTTTTTGTTTTAAAATAAAATCTTCCGGGATCCCATTCATGGTTCTCTGTGGTTCAGAAGTAAATCTGTATAATCCACAAACAATACAGTCTTGAAAGATAAGGGACCCCGGTACCACTGCTAGTGTTCTTACTTCATTCCAGACGCTGTAAAGCCCTCACTGTGGGTTTTGCAGGGCAAGTTGAGAGCTCTCTAAGTCTTGCAGGGTGAAAGAAATTAGTTGATACTGCAAAGAAGCCCTTCCTCTCTGGATACACACATACATATATATAGCCTCCTCCCCTAACTCCAATGGGATCTAGCACACATAATAGGCTTTGTGGACCAGCCCTCCCAGATACAATCGTGTTATTCAGCTGTTGCTTTCAGATCACCCTTTGAAGACAGGACTTTTATTCTGATTTTTACGTATAAGGAACTGAGGCGTGGAGGAAACATAGCGCAGCAAAGATGATGTGAAACACTGCCAGAACCAGCAACTGAATGCTGATTTTCTTGGAAAGGAGGGTGCTGAGCACCTTGCGAGAAAAGATCTTTTTGGCAGCACCCCACCAACTGTTGGAATTCATGGATGCCAAAACAATAATTACAAAGTCTTGAGATTAAAAAAATAAACAAAGAACCCCTCCTCAGATTCACAGATAAGTACTTGAAATGACTGGGTGGTAATTACATGTTATATTTGGAACATAATTTTTCTATTGGACATCATCCATAAGAAAGACTTGCAGTTTTCAACTGAGCCTGTGAGTTTCTTAAATATACATTTTTACTCTTGATTAGCAAATCGTGACATGCAGGAAAATAGTATTTTCTCTGAATTGTATACTGAAATAACGAAGGGGTTGTGATGGGGTTCCATGCTGAAGTAATGGTACACTGGAGAACCTGAGGAGTGTGTGCCTCATTATTTTTCTTACCAACTACAATTAACAGCACAGTGAATGAAGCAAGCTGGTGTGATCTGATGTGCTTGCTTTTTTGTTACCACTCAAAATTGGCTTTATTTACATAACAATCTGTATGGAATGGATCATAGCAGAAGGACCTCAAATTATGTCTCATGGGACATTGAGATGCCAGGGGGATCTGGAAGAGGGAAGGCCTTACTGTTCCATTATGGCCTAGCCCTTACATAAACTTTTAGGCACTACTTAGGAAGTTATTTTTCCTTAACTCTCTGTGTCTTCCAAACCAGCTATCACTATTAAAATTGACTTACATGGCATAATTACTTTGGATTCAAGCTATGAATGTAGAACAACTTCATTATTCATTTTTGAGTCTGACATAAACGAAGCTATCCATGATACTGAAAATATTTTTCAAATGCAACTCTGTAACTGCTTGAAATTACAGCTTAGGTTCTATATCGTGTTTGAGTGGTTGTCAGGAATGTCTTTTTATGGTTTTAGATGTTTTGTTTACTTTTGAGAGAAATACCATGTACAAACAAAACACACAGATCAGCAGTTTCATTCAAAAGTGCACTTAGAGACAGTGTCAGATGGAGAGTTTAAAAAGTTCATGTGGTGTCACGTGAAAACTTCGTATAAGAAATGTTTTTAGCAGAAAAAATTGTCACGTGTGAAGCTGTGGTTGTCACAGCAAGTACAAAAAGCTGGCTTTCGTGCTGCACCAATTCCTGACAAGTTGTATGTAGCTCCCACCAGGCAGGTGGTGTTCCATGTTTTGAGTGGGAACGTTTGCAGTGCTCTGCAGCCCTGTTCTCTACCAGCACATTCTGCATTAAAAAGGTAGCTCTGCTGACACGCTTGGCTCATACAGGTCTCTTCCTACGCACAAAAACTGTTTCCCACAGAAGTGCTGCTTCTTCAGGCCACAGGCAGAAAATAGTAGGTGGAAGGATTAACATGAATGAAGAAATGGAAAAAGCAATCAGCAGGCAGGGAATCATGAAAGACCTTGTGGAAGTGGTATTTGATTTTCCAGTTTGTGTTGAACTATGTGATGATTCAAGGAAGTGAATAAAAATAAGCAACAGTTATCTTATAACCACTCTCACTCAATTTTTTAACATGAGTATAAAAACTGATAATGAAAAGCAAGGAAAATCCAAAATAAGGGACTTGGTATAGTTACTGTGGTATTTGCAAGTGTGTTACAGAAATCCTCTGTTAGGAGGTGCCTGCAAAAATAAAAGTTTCCTTTCCTGAGACCTGAGAGGCCTCTGCTACATATTTTCTTATTTGAGATGCTGAGATAATAAGACCAGGTAATTTCCCAGGTGGTACTCCTATCACGTGTGCAGTTTCCACCAATACTTCTGCCAGGTCCAGGACTCCAGAACTGCCTTTTTCTTTCTTTCCTTCTGAGCCTTTCCACAGCTGCCAAATAAAAACATACATGACAACAAACTGTACTTTTTAGTGATTTTAAACCTACATTATTCAAAGCAAATTATCGCTATTTTGTTCATGTCAGTGGTTCAAACCAGAGCATCAGGCTGGGCACTAGAAATGTCTGTACTTGGACCAGGATTTTTCTTCCAGCTTGACATTCCTCTTATAAACTGGAAAGGATGGTGCTTGTGTTTTCTTCAGCACCTGTGTGCCTCTGCAACCTGTGCAGGGAAGGAGATAGTTACCATCATCATTAATTTGTATTTGTAGCATTCAATCCATAATGGTGTTCTGTAGAGCTTCAGTTACTTTTTATTGACAGCAAACAGTATGGATTTTAAGCAGAAAACTCTAAATCTTGTATCTCCCCAAAGAAGGCTACAGTGGTTACATTCTTTTCAAAAGGGAGCATGAAGGAACTTATTGCATGTTTTTAATAGAGAAATCCTGCTAGTGTTAAAAGGGGGAAGATGGGCAGTTTGTCCCTGTGCTCTGAGTTTGATTTTTCAGTTACTGTATGGGTATGGTGAGTGCAAGGAGTTCAGAAGGTAGGGATAAATTAAACCCAGGTAGGGTGGTGTCCTGCAGGTTGCAATTTGAATCTGAGCCATATTAGCAGGAGTTAATCAGCTCCACCTTGAGACTTGACCAGACAAGTTGCTGAATTGGAGTTGTGTAGGTAGTGTTGTGCCTCTGGTGATGAAGGGAGAGGGGGTTTTGTTTGTGTGTGTTTATGTACGTGTGCTTTATGCCTCTGCTAGGACCGCACCTCACAGAGATAAGAAGTCCTCCTGACAAACAAAGCAGCAGCAGCTGTCTCATGGATGGTTAAGATAAAGAATGAGCAAATATCAGAGCTAATACGAGTCAATTAGTTCTCAGGCATTTTCCCATTCCCCCCTTTCACTCCCTTCCAAAGAAAGAGCAATAATGAGGTCTGTGCAGAGTGCTGCAAAGGTGGTGGGGTTTGTCTGGCTGTCCTGTCCTTTGTGCTTTACTGCACAGCTTAGCTGTGCATGGAGGAGAGCTGCCCTGGGCCACACAGTTGTCCTCCGACCCAAGGCTAAAACAATTACTTGTTGGTTAAGATCTGCTCATGACAAATTTCTGCTGTTTGTTTTCCCAAGACTCAGTGTCTGTGTAATCAGTCTGTTCTGGCCTCCCTGCACTCTCATCTACTCTGCAGGCAGATCTTCCTTTTCTTATTCTTTTCCACTAGTTGCTGAGGAGGCTGGAGGTGACCAAAAATGGAGAAGGTTTTCATTGCCCTTACTTCTCCAGAAAGTCAACTGCTTGATAAAAGGCAGCAGCATGGAGAGAGATGATTTTTTCATGCATAAAAACATATTAATAAAAGAAGGGCTTACCCTTTACCCATGAAGAGTGACTAACTGGGAGAAGGGCATGGCATTAATCCTGTAATCCTCTCCAGATTTCCAGTGGGAGACATTTTGTCCTAAAGATCAGCACAGTCATAGAAATAATGCACAGTAATCAGCCTCATCTTCCTCCAGCCCCCATCCTTGCTTCTGGCTATTAGCAAATTAGCAAAATCTTCCCAAGCTTTTGCATGAGACTTTCTGTGTCATTGCATTAAAAAAAAAAAAAGCTAAACTCTGCCTCACTTCTTATCATTCCCTATCTCTGCCCCCTTTGCTATTACCAATGTGTCATACTTCACCTTTTCCTTAGTCTGCATCTCCAGCATTTATTCCTCTACTGGCTTTCCTGCTACTCCTCTCTCCAGGAGTGAATTCTCTGCTATTTTACATGAGACATTTCAGTTTCCCATATTTTAAGGTGAGGGTCTTACACAGGCTTACATCCTGTTGTCCCAAAAATAAAGATGGCCTTTATTTCCTCCCTGCACAAGCAGCACTGATTAAATTGAAGATGTTGCCTGTCGTTTCTTTCTAACAGTTCAGTACTATGCATGCAGACAAGGCTTTGGTAAAGGTACGTTTAGCCTTATTAACTGATACAAATCCACATTTTATGAAAAAAAGGCATTTCCTATAGATGTGCACAAAACATAAATGCTGGATTCCTGGGGGCAGATACTCATTTTGGCTTTGCAGCTTTTCTCATAATTTTGATGTGGGTTTTCATAATGGTAGTGAGGTTCAAAGGGGGGAAAAAAAGTAATGGGACAAGCTGTTTGCTTTAATCACAGTTAGACTGCCTGCTAAAAGTTAATTTGTGAGAACATTTGCTGTAATATGAGAGCAACACTGCAACATGGGAAAATAATCCAAATGCACTGTTCTTGGAATAAAGTGAAGTCAAGGGAAATAAGAAGGAAGTTAAGGTCATGAATCAATAGGCTCTGAATGCAGCTGCTACTGTCAGTGATGCTGACAGCATGTACAAAATCCATAGAACAGAACCAGTTCCAAAGAACAAGAGGGTAGTTCTCCAAGTGCATTGCTGAGTCTGTTGTGGGATGCAGCTGATTTCATGATAGTCATTAAGTGGAAAAATAAGTTGTCCCTCAAATCCCTATAGCACTACAAGGTTTTGCCATCATGCATTGATACTGTTTTAAAGGCATGGTGAAGCAGGGAGAATGTGTTTGTGGACTTCTCTTCATGGTGTTAATCTGGGATATTTCTCTCTTAGACTGAAATTTGGCATCTGAAGGGTTATTAATGAATTTCTGACTTCCAAGTGAGTGAATACAAACATTTTATTTTAAATGCATGTTGCAGAGAAACTGTGGCTACCTTTTGGACACTGTTAAATGCCAGTGTAGCAAATACAGTGTCTGTCTGCTCTTGTGTACAAACCTGACAGAGCAAAGGTACTTGGAATCTGCTGCTTTGTGTTCCTCCATGATGACAATAATCATGAATGTATTCCCAGTGCGAATGGGAACACTACTGGTAGAAGCCTCAAACAACAGAGTTCTTCTCTGCATTGAGCATGGTCATAAGATGACTGTTCTCCTATCATATGACCTGAGATTCCTGTATGTGCTGCATACACTGGACAGCTGGAGTGGGAGCTTCAAAGAAAATACATCCTTGCCCAGAAGCAGTACTCCATGCAACTAGGAGTTTACAGAGTTGATTATCAAGGAACTCAGATGATGCTGCTGCTCATGATGATTTGGCTACAGTATTTTTTGGTCAGATCAGTTTCCTGTCCTAGCCATTTATGTGCCACCGCAAAGGAATGGAAATCGGTGTCCAGGGATGCAGGGAGTTGAGATTCCCATGTTTGACAGAAACCATCTCTTTGCTTGACTTAAAAGGACTTGGAAAATGCTCTTTTAGTGACTGATGTCTTCAGCACCAACCAAGCTAGTTTTATTTGGGCAATTAACATGTCCCAGAGGACTTAATATGACCCTGGTGCCAGCTAGTCTGAGACTTACTTGTGTTCAGTTATGTCTCACTAAAGATATGAGAAATTCCAGTGATCAGTTAAGAGACTGCTGAACTGATCTGATCTGAGACACTAACTCAGTTGGCCCTTCTTGCTCCGAGATACAGAGGGCTAATTTTTCACAATCAACAGTCAACAATTTGTTAACATAGGCAGAACTTTGTTTTTCCGGTTCCCCCTCAATCTGATTTTCAGAAACGTTCAGAGAATATGAACTCTGGTTTTCCAAACATAACAGTATCATGGGGAGTTTCAGTCAAATCAGTTAAAGCTCAGGGGAGTTCTTAACTGATTGCAAAGTCCTAACATGGAAAGCAGCAGGCAAACCTAGTTCTTCTAGTTTGTTTTGGGTTTTTTTTTTTTCTGATGATGACTTCGTTTGTATGGGACCTTTGTAGCTAGAGGTAGGGGAAAATATGGGAGTCTTTGTACCCAGTCCTATCCCTCCCTGCTCCTCAAAACCAGCACCAGAATTTGAGAAAATGAGGACTCTTAGCTGGTGCTTGCACAACTGCTGATGTCAGAAAGCCTTTGGGGTTGTATCTTGCATCAAATGCAGCCTTCTTGAGTGTCTGAGCCAAAGTTAGACACTTCATCATGAGCAAGGAAAGTGTGATTAGTGTTCTTTTAAGTGCCTACTTTTCCATGTGAAGAAATGTGGATTTCTCCAGTGTAGGAGCTCATTTAATTTGAAATTTATTTTATAAAGATATAATGACTGCTGCTGAATGCTTTCAGGGTGCATGTACATTTTAGGATGTGTTCCAAAAGCAGTTGGAGTTGGCTTGCTGGGAACAATGGTGCTGCTCTGGGGAGGGTAGTTTTGGCATGTACCTTTGAAATGAAGTGAATTCTGCTGCCTAGTGCACCTCTGAGTTTTATTTGGAAACAAAGATGTGTGTGCTGCCCTCAAAGGTAAATTTTGTTTCCCTTTGAAAAGTTTCCATGCTTAACTGTCTCTTTCTGAGGCAATTAAAACCAATATTGTAGACAGGGGCCTCCTTCCTCCAGCCCTGCATGACTCATGCTATCGTGGCTGCTCATCTCAGGTGCAGAATCTTGTGAAATGTGCTTTTGACTATCTAAATGTATGACATCCACTGATTTTGCCTTATCTGTTATGACAGTACTATCTTCTCAAAATGCCATCAAGTTGGTTAAGCAATACTTCCCAGCCCTACAGCCCCTACTTCCATAGATTTTAATCAAATTGTTTGTTTAGCAGGTTCTTTAATTACCTTCTTAAAATAGCTCCTCTAGGCTTCATACCCAACTCTGAATATACCAGTCTCCAGTTTTATGTTGTTTTGTTTAGTTTTGTTCTTCTTTGAAGAAAAATTGATGTTTCATTCTTTTTTGCATCCTGAGGATTCTTTTTTTTTAAAAAGTGTGAGAAAATGTAATGCTTGCTTTGCCAGTCTTGGTGGTTATTACTTGTGAAGTATGTTGCTTTGCTTACTTCTAAGCAGAACTTTTATATTTATAAACACACACATATTTATGTTTCTGTTGTTGTTCTGTCTTTGTTGTAGAATTCACCTCAAGTAAGGCAAAAATTCAACTTTCTTCGTTTTTAAGTACACAAGCCACATATGCATAGCAGTTAATTAATCTGATCCCCAGTGCAAGCCCTGTACTCTTTGTTTTAGTCAGGCTTCTCTGCTTCATGGCCCTGTTATGTCCTGAAAACGTACGTGAGAAAACCTTTAATGATGTTGGGTTTGTTTATTGATACGTTACTCAATAGGAATTCAGCAGATGCTGTAGAGGATAAGCCCTGTCCTGAAGTTTGTAATATCATTTTCAGAACTTTGCTCACTGATTTGTTATGAACAGATGCCAGTGAGTAATGGAGGAATGTTTTGCAGGTTATGCCTCCTTGTCCAGGATGCCTATGGCATGTTCAGTGAAGTGCAGCTGCAGTCCCTGAGTTCCACAGATGACATTGAGCAGTACTGCAGGAGATGGGAAGGAAAATCCTGCTGCTTAGCTGGAATGAAAATTTTGCAGAGAACTACAAGAGGAAGGTGAGAACAATTAATGGAAGAACATATTGCTTGCTGTGACGGGCAAAGATGAGCTGCCTTTTTTATTTATTTCTGTGACCAACATTCTTTGGAACAACTGAACCTGGCTTTGTTCAAGCAAATGTTCTCATTGCCACTTTTGGGGCACCCAGTTATGCTTATGCCAACCATTCTCCAAAATGAGCATAAACAAGCTAATGTACAAATACACACTTAGCAGAGTAAAGAATTACTATGTGCAATATTTCATAAAACATGAGTGTTTTCTTCCTCTTCAGTGGATTCAGAGACTTAAAAACATTAGTTCACCTCACTTTCACTGCAGAACTTTTTCTACTGTGCTGCCCAGTATGGCTTGAAGTTTCAAGCACAGACTTTCCTTTAGTATATGAGAGCTTAATTCTGTTACATCTATATGGCTTTAGAACCACAATGTAAGTTTCTTTAAAAAAAAATAAAAAAAATCTTGCAAATCTTAAAACCATTCTTATTTTGGAATAGCAATGTCAACAACTTTATAGAAAAATTCCCCCAGGTAAGGAACAAATTGGCTTATGGCACATCTCAGATTTTGCTTATTCTGTGATTCCTGCTATGTTCTTCAAATAAAAATATCTTTAGTCAAGAAAAAAAATTAAATAGATCGATTATCTTTCAGAGTATCTTACTAAGGAGAGTGATACAATGTTCTCATGGGGACCTATATAAATATGAGTAGATTGGTTCAGTTCTCAACATAATTTATTCGTACAAGCATCCGATCTAGATAAGCCTTTGCTGTTAGAATGGCTATGGTATTTCTGCTGACACTTTTTTTCCTGTTGAAAAATGCTGTTTCATCAAAACCAGAATGTTTCATGGAAACATTATCTATTTTGGAGACAGCTTTGTTGGGAAGACTTTTTTCAGGTCCAGAGGGAGTGAATATTCTTTTTCTCATTCTCATTTCATGAAAACTTTGAGAAAGTCTCATTTTTGTTTCATATTGGAACAAAAACGAATTTCAAAGCCTTGAAATGTTTAGCAAAATGGAATTGTTGTTTTCCAGCCAGCTCTATTCAGTATGCTTTTCTTTTTATGTACTTGCAGTGTTAATTTTCAGAGCCTTTGGATTTCGAGCCTACTTGCATTTTTATGGATCTTTAATAACAAACACGTCTTCTTATTTAATTATTTTGCTGGCTTTTTTTTTTCAAGTTACATTTTTTCCAAGCAAATTAAATAATGGCTTTGGAATTCTGGATACAAATGAAGTTTTACAACTGGCTGCTGGTGCTTCCAGTACTCTGCCTAACTAATAAGAGACAGACTTTTCATAATGTAAATTCTGTTTCAAAGCAGCAGTAACTTACTTCTGGCTATTCTGAGGACCTTTAGAAGAAGCACTGCTGAAAATGTTGGTGGCTCAGCTGGAGCTGTGCTGGTGGTAACCCTGCTAGGGAACATTAAAAGAAAATGGGTATAGTGTAGCTTCAGGGACAGTGCAGCGGTTAAAACGTGATTTCATTGTACAAGATGGGTGGGTGGGGGAATTGTTCAGGGATTTATTTTTTTCTTAATTGTTTAAGCCTAAGTTCTGCTTTATAACTTTTTATTACTTTAAGTGTTTGGGACACATTCTAGGTGTGATGGAAACCACAGTAAAGCCATAGCTGAAATGAATACAAGGGAGTACTTACTCTCAGAGAGCATAATTAAGCTGTAGAACTCATTGCCACTGGATAAATGGATTTCCAGAGCCACTGGTGTATCTAAGCACATGATGGGTTATGCCTGTGAGTGCCCAACCTTGGCTTGCAGCACATGAGTGAGTAAGAACTATGTGGTCTGCCCTGCAAGAAAGACTGCTGCCGGTTTGGGTTGTTTTCTTTTTTCTTTTTTTTTTTTTTTTTTTTTTTTTTTTTTTTTTGGAGAGCACCAATTACTTTTTGAAGGGAGATGGCTTTGAAACTTCTTGTTTCCTGGAGTCTGACAGTGGCTTTTAAAGTGGATAAAAGGGAAGAAAATGTAGGCTATATGAGGGAAAAGTAATGACTTTTTTTGTGTGTGCCTGTGAAGCACGTGATCTGGAGAAAGCCAGGAATGGCTAATAAGATCCAATATGTTCATGTTGTCCCACAGTCACTTGGATTGTAATCAGGGACAGAATGCTTCCTCAGTACCTCTGTGAGACACAGGTGATTTGCTAATAGATACAAGAGGTTCTCAAGCATTTTGCATCAATGGACCACTGTTATTGTTCAAAAAATTTTCCAGGCTGTCATCCATCCTCATCATCAAATACTTAATTCAGAGTACTGTTTGACATCATTCTGGTAAATGCAATTTTAAAACCGCTGTTGTAAGCTGAAGTTTCATTCCAAGGGCGAAAAACCTCTTAGCCTACGATAAAGGGTATTTTACACCCAGGGGAAAACCCTGCTGAACACGTTACTTGATCTTTGGAACAGACCTGTACTGTTAAGGAGTGCTAAAGAAACTAAACACATTTCTTCTCTGATAAGAAAACACTTGTGTTCCAAGAGAAAAGTGGGATAAGAACTTACACAACCATGTCCTGTCTTGACAACAATCAGCTCTGTGAAAAATTGGAATGACAGTAACCTTACATTGAGAGAAGCACTTTTAATGTTGAATATTGGTTTTCAATATGTTTTGACAAGTAGTAGGGTCTCATGTAGGTCATTTGAAGGTCTGTTACTAATTGAGGTGGTTTTCAAAGCCACATAAAGCATACTCCCCTAAACCATCCCTGCAAGAAACCCTTCCCTTTGCAGTCCAGTAAAGGAAGTGGTGTTTGCAGTCCAGTTCCTAGCAATCCTGTCAGACAAAAGGACATGGCTGAGTCATGGCAGAGTTGCCATGGCTTGTTCAGTGCCTGATTTCCAGCAGTTCTTCTACTCTGTGAGCCTGTTGGGTAAAGTAGGAAGCAGTAGTGTGGCAACTGACTGAACTTGTGTGGTTCAGTATCTGTTTCCTGACAGCTTTTCTCTTCACCCTCTCATTCATACTTGTCACGTAACCTTTCCTGCAACTATTCCCTGGACTTCATGCTTGGTATCAGCAAAAAAAGAAAGAAAGTACAGAGGTTTAAAGGGAGAAGACTGAAAAATATTAACTGAAAGGCTGCTGGTGGTGTTGTCTCCTTAGAGGCTCTGGTTCTCACCCTCACCCTCCCACTGCCTCATGTGTTAAATTCAGCCCCTTGAGGAAGAGGAAGTGAGATTTTGGGGGTGTGCTGCTAGAGGCAGGAATGCTGGTTGAGAATCCAGCTGCAGCACATGCAAGCCCCCTCTTTTAATAGGTCCTAGGCATGGTTCAGGTATGTCAGGTATAACCAGGAACTAAATGAATGCAATTAGATGCAGGAGCTGAGCACTCACTAAAATGCTTCAGGAGTAAATAACCTATAAATTGTCATGGTTCCTGCTTCCTACCAGAAATTAATTTCAATGATCTGAAATAATCTTTGGAGTTAGAGATCTGGCTTTATCAACAAAAAATACTGACTTTTTTTTTTTTTTTAGCCCTACCTGGAATTCCACACAGAATAATAATTTGATTTTGACAATTTGGGCTTTTCACCTGATTTTCCTACCATTGAGTTGTTTTACTGCTAAGTATAGCAAATGTACCTGCTTCTTTTTATGCGTTCTTATATGTTAGAAACATGAAGAGTTTCTCTGCAGCAGAGCAGAAAGATGACAGCAATTTAAAAATGGAGGGGGCAGGAAGAGCACAGGGAATCAGTAAAAATTTTGTCCCCAGATTGAAAACGTGGTTAATAATCTTCAAAAGAGGAGGCAACTGCTGCATGTAGAGTACTAAAATCCACATTTGTGTTGGATAGGCTAAAACACTTTGAAGGATACATCAACTCATAAGCTTTGGCTTTTGACCCAATATTTAATTCATGGCAGGCTGTACTATCTGTTGGGTTTTCCTCTACACTAAACAGGCTCTGAATATTGAGTTCATCAACCAGTGTTATGTTTTTCTGATAAATTTCTACATTTTCAAGTTGGCTTCTATTGTTTGTTATTTTAAACTTTCAAATGTTAGGCACTGAAATGTGAAATCTCCCTGTATGTGTATAGTGGTCACTGTTGTGCTTGAGGGTTTTCATTCTTTTCTATTTTTTTTCCATTTGAGTCACATACTTCTCTGGCCTCAATTTCTCTCATTTTTTTCCCTTTGCTCTTCACTGTATACTTTCTCTGCATTTTGTTTTGTCCTCAGAAGAAAGGACTGCTGCTAACTGCTGCACAGGTAAGTGTTTCAACCGCTGGACATTAACAGGAAATGTAATAGTAAGAACTCTCTGCAGAGCAAGGAGGTCATAACTTCCTTCCTTTGGTTTTCCCTCCTCCAAAAAGACTGCCATCTAAAAGATCCACCCACGCCTCTGGGTTCTGAGGTCCTGAAACACCTCAGTAATTTCTGTGGTTAAAAGTTGAGTGTCATTTAAAGCATAATTACAATAATCACATTGAAGTTTTGAATATTTGCATTATTTTTATATTAATTTCTATGGCTGCTTTTATATCAGAAATGAAGTTTTTTATTTCCTGAATTTTCTATTCTTTAATAAACATGGGCTGCTGATTGTGTCTTAGGGCTTGTGTCATTAATCTATTTAGTAATCAGCATTGGAGAATAACATAGGCATATCCATATTGAATCAAAAGTAGTTCTATAGTATAATTTCAGTGGTTTAGTATAGTATATGAAATTTCTAATATACTATAAAAAGTTGAATTACTAAACTATTTAAATCATTCAACTATATAATTCCATATATCTAAATAAAACCTGGGTTGGGGGGGAAAGCTCAGCAGCCCTTCCTCCCTGTTTGTATTTTGACAAAGATGCTGGTTGAGTAGGCTCAGATTTTCACTTTGTGATTTTGTTGCTTTTATTACTCAAGAATAAGGAAATGTGGTGTTGCATAGTTTGTGCACTGCAAGATCTTAGTAGGTCAGTTAAAGGGAGGGAGAGAGAGAGCCTGCAGTATCAGCTTTGTATTTGGATTGCTTGTCCCTTGACAGCTGAAGCTTATGCAGTCTAGGTGATTATTAAGGAATTTCTTAGTTTTGCACAGTGGGCTAGGAATTGCTTTATTTTTGAGTTCTTAATAATTGAGACTGACGTTGCCAAAGAAAACTGTTTTGTTTCAGACAGAAAGTTTATGAAGTAGGAGAGGAGGAAGCAGAGAAGTTCCAAGTCCCAAAGTCCTCAGAGCAAATCTGTGGAAGATGTTGGAAGAGAATCCTAGCATCTTTCTGTTCCTTGCTGTAAACCTTACACATTTTTTCCCTGTTTGTGTGCCTTCTTTTTTCTGATATTGCTGGTATTTTCTCCCTCTAGTAATTTTCCCCTGAGCCTGTTATGATTATTAAAGTTGAAAAATCCCCCAAACTGTAAGCCGTATGTTAAAAGTTGGATCAGGCATGGCACACACAACGTTCTTGGACCAGAACTGTAGCTGAAACTTCATGCTTTTGAGAGAAATAAACAAAATCTTCTTATTAGGTTATGAAATAAGTTGCCAGGTCGGAATCAGTGAATTGCAGTTTTGAAAAATCAGAGTTGTTTGACTTTTGAAGCACAGCTTGTAGTACGAAATAAGTGGAATTTCCACAGGATCAGAAATGTTCTGGTAGTGTAAGTACTGGTTTATCAGTCATGTATTTAGCCTGTTTAGCAGTGTTATATCTTTAAAAATCTCTGCCTGATGTCTGGATACACAGCAGGCAGTCTGCATTTATGAATACAGAGAAAGATATACTGAAGTTTTGCAAGGAAAGATTAAGACAGGTGTCTTTTGAAGACATTGCATAATAAAAATAATGAAGGACACCAAAATTTTACTTATTATATGTATGTATACACACATATATAAAATCTCATTATACATAAGCAAAGCTTGAAGATGTGGGCTTGTAGAAGAGAGGCGTACCTACCTGTCATAAATCCAAATTTATGTGGAAATCTTTACTGTAACACTCCATTGGAGTTACTGGTAGTCTTATTGTGTTGGTGTTAAACAGTGGAAGCATACATATTTGGAATGGGACAAAATTTGTTTTACCAAACTCAGAGTTAAGCCTGGCGTGGAAAATAGTAGAGTCTGTCATTTAGAATCTCATAGATTTTTTTTTGTCTTTCTCCTGCTATACATTCAGTCTTTTTTTTTCAAAGTTATAGAGTACTACAATAGAGCCCTAGTCTCTGACATAAAAGAAAAAAAAATGGTTATTCAAAATACTTTACATGTTCATTTTTCTTTTTGATCCTTGAGCTTGTTTCTTCTCACTTCTTATTCTGCTTTTCCTTTCTTAGAAGTCTGTCCTTTTGTGATCAATTTTTTTTTTTCAAAGTACCTAGTAATTACACTCTTAGAGCAAAATTTTAATGTTTTAATTTTGTCTTGTGTATCCAGAGAGGCTCCATATGCACATGGGAGCTAACCATGCCTCTTCACTGTAGCACAGAGCCAGCTGTTCATCTCTTGTCCTGACTCTATAGCTGAAGAAGGCTACACATATTGAATAAACTGCACCCATTGTTCAAATCAGATTGAACTGGAGTTTGAGTGTTACTTGGCCAGTGAAGGGAATTAATTTTATTCTTTCTGTGAGAATAATGATCTTCTACAGAGGAGGACACAATGTCTTTGTCATTTCTCCATTGGCAGTGCCCCCACTTCATTCTCCCTACTGCTAAGTTGAAGCCCCTAAGTAAAGAGAGAGTTATCTTTTCTGGAGGTGTATAAGTGGATGGAGCAATGAGGGAGCTCCCCAGCAGGGACACTGACTGATGGGATGAGAGCTCCAGGAGACAACATCCCAGCTCATAAACAAGGATCACAGCAGGATGTGATTTGGAACTTGCTAATCCTTTGGTTTGTCTCTGCCCTTGGCCTGACTGGTGTCTGAGAAGTGATGGGGCCAAGATGTTCAGGAGATTTACCCCACACAGCACTGATCCTCTGCCTGCTTGCAAACAAATACTGTCATTTACTATTAAGTGCTCTTAGTTCAAGCAGTAGATGGCCTTCTCCAAAAGGGCACAAAGAATAGAAGGAAATGTACCACATGTCTCAGATATTGTGACACAGAATAACAAGTTATAAGTGGGCTAAAGAGGAATGGACAACTTCATGTCCTTTGTAAACACTTAAAAATGCATATGAGGGATCAATGAACATGCAATAAACAACATGCCTTAGTTGCTCTAAGTTGATAAATGTGCAGTCTCTGTGCAGAGTTTGTGGTACATTTGTATCTGTGCTCCGACCTTTTGCCGTGGGTTGTGTGAGGAAGGTCACTTATGTAACTGCAGGAGTTTTACAGGAGGCTCTGCTCTCATTTTGTAGCTCTCCTTTTTCATCTCCCAGCTAGCAAGACCAGTAAGTTTCTCTGGGCATTGGCCTTCCTGGTGTCAGATATCATTCTGTACAATACAAACCAGAAAATCTTGCCCCAGTCAAAGATTCAAGAAGTGGTCAGTTTGCTGTAAAGTATCTTTAGTACCTAGGGAATATTACTTTGTGTGTTGTAGTGTCATCACTGTTAAAAAACAAAAAACAAACCAAAAAAACCCAAACTAAAATTAAAAAAAGCCTCCAAACAACAAAGCTATCCCAGTCTCTCTCCTTTTACAGACTTGGAGATGATGCTTTGTAAGTCAGAGGGTCCCTTTCTGTAAAAGAGCATCACTTTTGTGTCTCTAGTCTGTTCATTTATGTGGAAATATAACTACAGGTAGCAACAATGTCTTTCTAGTCTGCCAGCTTGTTACCTGAATTGTGAACCTCAAGTTGTATTCCCCAAGATCTCCTCAGCCACAAAATTTCTTGCAGAGCTGGTCCAAAGGCATCACTATTAACACTGAATCACAGGCAGTGAAAAAGCATGCTGAGAAGCTCACTGTAGACACCCAAAGTCTAAGGATCCAGAGAAGGACTAAAGAAATGCAGAAATAAATAAGCTTAAGCAGAAGTGAGCTAAAAGCAGAACTTTGAAAGGAAAGTTTCCGTGACCCCTTGAAGAGAAGCAGCATATTGCAACGTGCTTCAGCCCTGTAAACAGGGTATGTGGTTTCCTTCTAAACAGTTGGGTTTAGAAGCTAATATTACTTTTAACAAGTTTTGGACTTCCATTTCTTAGAGTTGTTTCAGAAATAGTGGTTTTCTTAATTGGAGGGACAGACAACTTGGAGGCAGTGGGGGGTTAAAATCCAGATCTCTGTGCTTCAACTGCACAGAACACAGAACTGGGACAAGATAACTCAGAGCTTTAACTCAAAAATGCATGTCTCTTCAAGTTAGTTATCTGTAGCTGTTTCCCCTCCCTCAGCTACTTCTGCCTGTCCAGCAAAGATGTTCCATCAACTCACAAAGCAGCCACTGAACTGATGCAGAGTACAGCTTGGTTTGCTGAAGAGTGGTCAACATCTTACCTGAATGTAATAGGCTGTTAAATTTATGTTTGTTTTTTAAATCAAAAGTGTGAAAATTTCAAAGTTAATAAATACAAAGCATAACTGAGTGAGCAGCTATGTAGGAAGGAGGTCGTTCTCTGCACAGGTACTTAACAAAATCATGCCTGCTGTTTCTCTGTATCTGATAATTGCTGACTTTCCTGAAAGCAGTTACAATCAGCTGTCAACAACAACAAAAAACACAGCAAAAAGCACAAACACACAGCACCTCCCAAAAAAACACCCACTAGAAATGAAGATGTTAGAAGCAAAACTTTTTAATAGTCAAATAGTTAAAAGCTCCTTTTTAAAAGTAGTTGTGATGATATCTGTGTCCTTCCCAAGCTGCCATTTACCCCAGTTCCCCTGAATTCTATCATGTAGCAAGCTGTTTGTGGCAAAGGATTAAACATGACTTGCTTGTCACTGGATGTGATACATCCCTTCCCTCCCTCTCCACCCGGCAGCAGAAGCGATGGAGATTTAACGAGACCAAATCAAAACCAGCTTCCAGAAAACAAATATGATTTTAAATTGTTTTCATAATCATGCAGTGGTTTAGATTACATTTCTTAATGAATCTTTTTAATATAATGTGTAACACTGGAAAACATTTTAAACCTGATTTTATTCGTCTCTTTGAAGGGCATTAGGACTGTTTAGTCTGATAGACAGTCTGTGGCCTCCAGCAGTGCCTGTAAGAGTTCCCGGACAAAGTCAAGACTCTGAAATGGTAAGTTTTGTTACTATGAATATGAATTCTTTCACTCACAACCAGTGTTTTTGGTGGTGATATAATCATGTTTACTTTGGGAATCAAGACTCTCTCCCACTTTTCACCTACCAAGTTTTGTTTTACTGATTCTGACAACCTCCCTGATTAACCTGAAGCCCTCTGGATCAGCAGCAGCTTTCCAAAATTGAGCAGTTAGCCCCTTATTAATATTCTATAGCTAGAATGATAAGATGTCCAGACAACTTCTTCCTCTGTTCTTGCAGGAGTAAAGAGATACTAGGTGTCATGGAGCCTGCTGAGAAATCAATATACAAGGATGTTAACTCGTTCTTTAAAAGCACTTTTCAGCCTTAGGTTTGAAAACACTTTTTTAAAGATTAACTTCTGTGAAGACAGAGTGACTGCTGGAATCAAGTCTCTTACTAGTTAGAATGACTTTGACTTGTTTCATGTGAGGTCAGAAGGATGAACATAAAAGCAATTACTAAAGATTAGTAATTTCTGTGATTTTAGGAGGTGGGAAAGTATAGAAATGGATTTGAAGTATGTTACTATATATTTGCAAAGCTGAAATCACATCTGTAATTTTGCTTCAATTAGCTTTTGTCTTTGAAAAAGTGTTCTGTCACATCAAATCATTTTGATAATACCAGACCATTTGAGAAGCTTCTGGGTAGCCAAGTGCTTGGCCTTTCTTGATGTTCTTGTATAGGATGTTCTTTGGGAATAAGTTAGTGGTATTAAAAATCTGTTTCAGGCCAAAGGAGTCAATATGGAAAAAAATAAAATAAAAAAAAAAAAGAGAGAGAGCTGAAAAGAATCAAGTTTCAAAACCAGGGAATATTGAAGATGGATATTAGTAGTTATTTCTAAAGTCCAAGAATCTTTCCTCTGCAATATAGAGTGTTCTTTGCATTGTCCAGGGGCTTATATTTAACAACAGAAAGCTCAGACCTCAGTTAAAAATAAAATTGAGACTGAAACTGAGTGAAATAGCTGTGCTCTCTTTGACTCTCCCTTTCATCAAAATATTGTGGAAGTCTCAGAGGAACGGATGGGTTTATGCATTAAAATACTGTGGGTAACGGAATGGGAATATCTATGGCTGAGGCAAAGCTCTTAAAAGTCATTTAGTGTTGTAATGGCTCTTGTTATTTCTTCATTTTTTCTGTTTTATTAGCAATCTAAAAATGGAGGAACTTGCCATAATCATGTAATTTACACTTCTGCCATGGGTTTAATTTCACAAATAACCACAGCTTGCATTCTGATGCTCCACATTTTCGTCTGGGTGGAGTTCTCTCAATTGAGATGTGTTTTTCTTGATACAACCAGTATAGTTTTATGCACAGTTCTATGGAAGCAGTTTTATACATTGGTACATAAAATTGCCAGCATGAAGATAATGTTGTTGGGAAGTGCTCTGTGGAACTGATTTATTTTGAACCGTATATGCATTCAAATACCTTTTTTAATGCTGTCAGAGGCAAACAGAGTTTGGGTATCATTTTCCATTGCTTTTGTTTACCATATTCTTTTTAATGGGTGGGCAACTGCCTTTAATATATTCATATTTCTTCTATAAAATTAAATGTTTTATTAACAACAAACGTTGCTAAAAGAGTGTTTTAGCATATTTGCAATAAAAATTATCTTCTAGCATTGTCTTTTCTTTTCTGAGAAGTCTTTCCAGCTTGGGACCTCTCTAAGTGGTGATTGATAAAGTTGTTACGTCATGGTACTTTTTAAGGGGAAAAGAAAAATCTGGCATACCACAAAGAGAGCAGTTCTTGCAGCTCTTGCATTCCTGTTCTTCATTATCTCCTTGTGCTGTCCTGGATTTAATTTGGCAGCTTTAAATGTTCGGCAGCTGTTTACTATCATAAAAACCCACCCACATGCAAAAGTCCCCAAATCTCAGAAAAGCAATGGATTTAAAAAAAAAACAACAAGCCAACCCTAATCAATGCATTCCCACCACGTAATAAAAATATGCAAAACAACAAAAAGCACCTTGAAGTAGTCACTGTGTGTTTGCCAGGTGTGCCAAGTTACGAGTCGTTTTTGTGATGAGGATCAATGTTAGATTATGGAAAGAATGATGCACACAATCTGATTTCACTTATAAGTTGTGATTGTTGGTTTATTAACTCAACTTCTACTTCAGAGTCCTTGTTATTAACCATATAATTTTGTTTCCCCATCCATCTTAAAATGTAAATTGTTTTGTTCATTTTGCCTATTATTGTAAAACTTGACTGGCTAAATTAAAGTGCCTTTTTTATGGTCACATTTCTTTTTCTTATTTTTTAATAGATGACAGCTAATCTTCCTCCTCCCAGCTTCTGTTACATTCTTACTGTTCAGTCTGGTGAAATACATGTGGAAGTGGATGAGGAAGAACAGATTTCTAATTTGTACCAGCCACCAGCTGTTCATGGTCTAAAGGAAATTCTTCGGGTAATCTGCTTTACAAATCAGATAACAAATACTTTTTACCACTGGATTTCTGGTATCACAGATGTCTCACTGCCTATTTTTGCGCTGTTTTCAGATTGATGGTTGTAACGAGCGGTGTAGCTTCTGGGCCCGAGTGCTCTACCAAAGGCTGCAGGTAATCTTTTTATTTAGCAATTAATTCAACATAAGATCAGCATCATGTTTATGTGAAGAAGATTCATCTTGTTTAGGGGTAACCCCAACGCCAGGATTATCTTTGAGAGCTGTGTGGGCAGAATTATCACCATGTCTAAAATGCTAAAGTGCAAGGTAAAATGAACTGCATTGCCAGTTTCAATGCCATTCAGTCTAGAAAGCCAATTATTCCTGAATAAATTGCTATCTAACCAGAGATAATACTGCACTCTGGAAAGGGAGCTCACAGGAAGTTTATTGTAAATATTAATTTATAGCTGAATGAGTGAATGACTGGGAGCAAGAAGCTCCTAGTCAGTTGGGTGTTGGGGGATAGAGTGGAACAGATGATGGTTATATAAAAATACATTTTTTCTCTTTTCATGCAAGTGTGTGGGTGATTTTCATTGACTTCCATAGAAGCCCCTCAGGCAAATGTAGCTTTTATGGTCCACTAAGTAATAAAAGGGAGGAGTAAAAGGAGTAAAACTCTTAGGTAAATACATCTGCCATCCATACTGTGCCGGAAAGCTTACAATTATGTTTTATTTGTTTCTGAATGATGCTACAATGTTCTTTCAAAATGTTGCTAACTCCCTTAGTAGTTAAGGGAATTTTTTTGTTGCTGATTTATTTATTTTTTCCTGGCGACTGGATCCTCAGTACAGCCAGCACTGAATTCTAGCAGAGAATAATTTGCAATTGTCCATCAGCTCCACAAGAAACAAAGTGTGAATCAAAGCATATGAACCAAAGACAAAGAAATTCCAGAACGGCCAGCAAAATAGCTGGAGATGCTTCCCACAAGTTTGAGACATAAATTTAATTTAGGTCTTGCCCTTTTGCTTCAAAAGCCAATGAATTATGATTTAACATTTAGGCAGGGAGTACTTTTAACTGCTGAGATGAGGGGTATCTCATGTGTTTTCTCCATGCTAGTTGAGAATGTATCAGAGCATTTGCAAACATGCAATTAGGGCTAGCTGGATGGGATCTTTAGTGTGCCAGCAGGAAGATGGACACATACTTGCGTAAATTCCTATTTCCAAGAAACCTCTTCTACTGAAAAATGAAATAAAATTGAAGACTAGGGGCATCCTAGCCAAGCATTTTTGAATTCAGGAATGTCTACATATGAAATTCTGATGTGGGTTATCAGTATTCTTGTGTAAAAGCACTTCATCGCTGAATTAGAGAAAAGATGAAGCATGCAGGAACAGATGTGATTTTGAAGAATGGAATATTGAGTAGCAGAAAAAAAGGTCTATGGTTTTTTCCTTGCTCCTAGGAGGTTTATTTGTTGTTTTTTTAATGGCTATTCCCTTGCTGAACAGTAAGCACTAAATTTTTATGAGTGAACATGAGTGCTCATAACTTTTTGAAAGTAATGATGGAAAACCAATAGAAGATATTCTTCTTATGTTTAACTTCATGGATAACTGTTCTAGGAATGTAAAGGTATTTACCTGCTGCTAGTATATCACTTACCTTGTCCTCCCAGAAGATCACAAGCAGCAGCTTTTTTTCTGTAGCTGCTTTGCCACAAGGATGTACCCCTCACATCCAAAATCACCAAGCTGTAATAAGTGAGGAAGGGACAATGATTTGGTTTGTTTTTCAGATTTATTTTTACATAATCTATGTGAGCTAATTCAGATGCACCTTAAAAAATAGTATTTACTCTCTGTAGCTACAGTATTAAGTACTTTAATTAATATGACTTAATTTGTGTGAAGGAGGAATGGAAATATGCTTTTTTTATTAGTCAGAATCCGAACTGTGGTTCAGAAGGAATAGGAGGAAATATATTCCATCTGTGGTTAAGGAGCTGTCCTTATAACTCAATCCTGCTGCTATTTGTCTGTTGTGTCCTCTCTGTTCAGAACAAATTGTCACACATAGCAAGATGATGATTTTATACTAACTTGTGATTTTGCTGTTATTATTATTTACTTTTTGGATGATTTTCCTGAAAGACAGCTTTCAATGTGTTAGTAATTCCCAAGGGTCAGATGTAAAAATTCTTTCTTTGAAGCTGTCCTAATGTTATGCATGCAGAGGAGGTGCCCAAATGTATGTAGTTACTAGGCAAAACAACAACATCAGTGCAATAGGCAGCATATGCTGTATGAAGGCATAACTGTGATATCTGAAATGTGAATTTTTCCAGTCACTATTTACAATTACCTCATTTGCTCTGAGAGTGTGAGCATGAACAGAAAGCCAGGTTTAGTGTGGCTGATGGTTTCAAAGTTAGAATTCAACTAAAGACAAAATACTGGGGGTTTTGTTGCGTTACCTTCTGCTACAGACCTGAGGCTCTGAGAATAAAATCTCTCTTTCTAGGCATTATAGTATTTAATTTTCAGTTAAGTGTTTTAAGCATTAATTTTTGATCAGCTGACTAATTAAAAAGAGTAACAAAACCATTTTAAATTAATAAAGTTATTTAATCTTAGATATTTTAAAATGTTAGAATCCAAAAATTTGCAAGTTCCTTGCACTGGTAAATACGAAATATACTTTGTTATGATATTTTTTTACCTGTCTGGGACAGAAAACTTACACTGTCATAGCAGATTCATACATCTCTTACTTAGGAATTATCTACTTCCTTATCTTTATGCATCATTAGAATATTTTGGGATATTAGTTCAACTGAAAAGAAAAGCTACACTTTGCAACTTGGTTATGCTTGGAAATCTGATAACAGTACCTAGAAATTGTGCCCACAGAGGAATATTAGTAGTAGAAATGGTCTTTCCTCATTTTTCTTTAAGACAAAAATTATATAAGTCTTAATAAAACCATCCAATTATCTTTTTATGTATACCATATATATAGTATAAATATATAATACACATTTTTTTAGAAAATATACTTTCAAATCCCAGGTACAGGCCAAGAAAATTATGATAAAGCATGATGGAAACATTGCATTCCAAATTTGTATCTTTTTTTTTTTTCCCTAATCACAGACAAAACACAGTGTTCCTATAGATCAAAGAGAAATGTTGCTGTTTGTGACTGACTCCACATTGCAAAATGTGGTTCATGGGATTCCAAAAGTTGTGGCTGTGTCAGTCACTGCATCCTGTGTTCTCAGTACGGAAATCATAGAAGCCCTCAATGCTGGCTCTCGACTTGTCTTCTTCAAGGATGCTCTGTGGGGAAATGGTAAGCTTTGCACGTGGTTTGGAAGCAGTTGGAGTCCCACAGAAACATCACCCTTATCTCTGACACCACAATATGTGACCTACAGAGAGGTCACTTTCATTATCGGATGAAGATGAGACTTTGCAAGTTTGGGATGAGAAATTTGAAAGGGATTGCAGTTTGAGCTTTCCTGCAAGGTTTCTTTTTCTGTATTTTTGGCTTGATTTCAAAAGTGAAGGAAAAATTCAGTGATGTTGTTGTATGTTCACCACTATTACTGTCAGTCTTCCCTGATGACTGTTGAATCTGATGACCAGCGTCAATCAAATTTATGAGCTGACAGAAGGCTCAAAAATACTAAGAAATTTGCATATCCTTCAATAGAGAAATTTTACATGCTCTCCTAAACCATCTTAGCTGTGAGCCTTCACTCCCATACAGATAATGACATTACAGTTTTTCACTTTGCTTTCATTTTTAGTCACTCTTCTGAGGTTCAGGTTTGGTTCTGTATGGTGACTGCAGGGCAAGTTCACATCTCACACCTTCAGTCAGTTCCAGCATGTAAGTGAACTGGAAGTACAAAGCTGTGCAAAAGGCTGTGTGTCCTGAAGCAAAAATCTCTGCTCTGGAGAATAAAGCATTTCATGCACGTACTCTTTGTAATCTTTGAAGCAAAGTAGGGCCACCTGAAGGGGTGCCCAAGCATATTACCAAGATAGTGAGATGTGGTGCAGTCTGGGTGGCATCTGACTCTCTTCTGGCATGTTAAAATTTTAAAATTCCTTCTTCTTCAAATTCAGATTTCTTTTTCCCCCTGGGAGTTGCAAAGTGTAACAAGAGCATGGTGCATGTATCGCTGAAAGCAAAATATTTTGTCATTGAGAAAACCTGATGGAGTCTATTCATCTGTTTGGTAGCTGGCAGAGATTGTTGTCTTTATTGGCCGTGACAATTAACGTGGTCACCTTTTTCCTTGTTACTGTACTGAGCTGAAATGTCTTTTTTGGCAGGTAGGATTATTTGTGTTGAACGTACTGTTCTCTTATTACAAAAGCCTCTTTTGTGCTCGGCTGCCGGTGCTGACCTCAGTGAGCTGACTGGCCCTGTCAGACTCGATGAGCTGGATTCTACAACACAGGCCAACTCCATTTGTGCTCTGAGAGGTTTGTATGGCCTTGCCTGAAATGAATGCGGTTAATTATTTGTGCTCACTTTAATCTTTTGTGTCTTTATATTGATTTCTTGCACAAACAGCGTGGAGGGATAAAAAAAGCATGGCATTGCTGTGGGTCACTAGGATATTTAAGATTTTATGCTTCTTTGTGGGCTCTGTTTGCCTTTTGCTGGCCAAGCTCTGCTCCCACTCACTCATACCCCAGAATAAATGTTTAATGCACAATCTGTTTCATTATATTCCTTCCTTCACTGTCTTCTTTCAGGAGCCTTCTGTTCACACCAGCCTTGTTGATGTTGGCAACAATGAGTTATACCAATACTTTTTGGGCAGATGGGTAAGATATGTTACCCAGATCTTGAATGGCAGGGGTTAGTGACTGATTTCCCTGGAGCTTTGCTGCAGTATTTATTTTTTATTATTTTACCATAGTAATTTAGCATAATGTGGCCAGTATTTGCTCACCAACCATTTTGGATCATAGCTTTGTCTAATATCTTGGTCTTACCACTAACCATGCAGAAACATTTCTTATTACAGATTTTCTAGTGCTTCCAAATCATGCAGAAACATTCTCTACTGTGTATTTTCTAATGCTTTATCCAGACAGCTTCTTAAACCTCCCAGTGGTACAGTGCCTATGAGAAATAGTCCTTAAAAGCCCAACAACCAAGGCTGTTTCCTTCCTTAATTTAATTTGTATTATTCCTGTAGCCCTTGCTGAAAATTCTTGATACGCTTTTGCATTTACACCTTCAAGTATTCACTGGAGCATTTGAAACTAACTTTAAAATTACAAGAAATTATGGTTTTTTAATTAATTATTCAGCTATAATATGACAGTCTGAGAACACAGTTTGAAACCAAGCAAAGCCTTTACTAAACATACCTGCTGCTATGGTAGAGACACAACTTAGCAATGTCATTGTGATTAATTACTAAGCACCTTGCAGTGATTAATGTTGAACAGTGCATAATGAAAACGAAGCACAACTAGAGGCATTTCACTCAAAGCCTTGGTTGTTATGTACATCTTGCATTGATACAGCTACTTGAAAGATATTTCTGTCACTGGATGTGAAATGCTTTTTGACTTTTTTTTTTTTAACCTCTCCAGTAGTTATGTTAAGAATTACCACTAATTGTCACTTCTCTGCTGTTAATTTTGTGCTCATGAGAAGTGTCTGTCTTCTTTTTTCTTGTTGAGAGTGTTTATAATAGGATAAAGAAACATCTCTGTCCTTTTTTTTTCCCAGCAGAGCAAAGAAAGTACGCCTTTGTGATCTGTTGTGTAAACAAGTACTTACTTTACACACATGGGAGATGTCATGCTTTGGCTGTCTTGTATTACAGATAGAAGAATGACAAAAGGAGAAATTAATCTTACAACCTTGTCTTGTTTAATCTGGAGTTTGTGCAGGGTGGCTGTTATCAGTATGTTCCCACACCTGAATAGCAACACAGAATACAAAATAAATCTTAATACTTACGTTGCTGCAATATATAGATGAAAACTCTCACTTTTGTGTGTACTGAAATAATTTAATAGCATTCAAGAAATATATCCACTGTTTTGGGCTTCAATTAGTCAGTGCCTAGATCTTTCTCTTGAACAAATGAAACTAATTTGCATTGACCCTACTTTGTTGGTGGGAGAATAAATTTTTGTTGGAGTAACACATGGAGGGAGGTGTATTGTCTCTAAAATTCAGTCACTCTCTTATCTCCTGAGTCAGAGGGTTGTTGGTCTGGCTTTCAATGAGAAGCAGTTATTACCTCATTCATTCTTTTACTTTGTGCATCCTCTCATTTCTTGTACTTTTGGTCACCTATGTGTGTTGCACAGTGGCATTCTCCCACCTAGCAAAGAGGCTGCAAAGGCTTTGTCTAGCACTTCTTGAAGGAGTGTGCCTTCCTGCTCATTTGGAAGGAACATCTGAAGTTCTGCCAGTCCAAGCTTCCTCTTAAATCTGGGCCCTGAGCAACATGGTACAGCTCTGGACTGGATGTTCTTCAGAGGTTCCTTCCCCATCAAAATAGAAAATATTCCTGTCCAAGCAGATGGAATGGGTTTGTCAGAAATTCTTGTTTCAGGGAAGTTCAGTCATACCAGCTCTGGGATAATGGAGTGTGTTACTCTTCAACAGATGAGTGAAAACCTGTGGTTGCTTTCTAATGAAAAGTTTATTCTTCATTGCAAGATGAATCTGTGGTTTTCACCTATGATCTTAGAGTCAATAGGTTAATTTTCTTATCACAATGCATTGCAAGGTAATTTCTAACCTCTTTTTGCTGTAAAGTAGCAGTCAGGATGACTTATATGTTGGTAGTTTACATGGCACAGAACAGTTTTTTCTCTTAATCATGCTTTGAGCAAATTCTGCATAGTCTATACCACATATGATATGTGGAGATATTATTTGATTAATGCTATTTGTCTAGTATATGACTCACCAACAGTGATTGAATTTTGACGTTGGTTATTTTCATATTTAAGCCTTTACTCAGGCGTGTGGGGAAATTTCAGTTTTCCACTTAACAGTGGGACTAAAATGAGGTCAGTCAGTTTACCTAGGTTTCCTTTTTTGATTGAAGTTTTGTGTTTCCTGTCCCATTAATCAGGATAACTGACTGGGGTGGGGGAGGAAAGTCCAAAACAACACCTCCATGTTTTAATTGTTTCAACCAACTTCAACCTCCTTGGCATTCCACATGCCAGATCTGCTTTTCCAGGTCTTGTCCTATTGTCAATCTCAAAGGTGCCAGCCACAAGCCTTAAAAATAGACTAGAGGTAAAAATCATTTTTTGGCTATGTGCATTTTCATTTAAAGAATTTTGGGAGAATATCCAAAAAGTTTGTGTGTGTGAAGCAAAATCTAGAGTCTTCAAAAAGATGTGCAGCAGTTCAGCATCCTAAGCTTGAGAAATCTCTTTGTGTATAGGGTGCACAAGGCTATCACTGGATTACTACACCTGTTGCTGCTTTGAGTTGGTCTGACTTCAGTGATGTCTGGTGGTTTTCTCAGGGGAACTCTACATTATCACCAAGATAATCTTCTCCACTAGACATAATCTCATCAGTTTGATCCTGATTGATTTTCTTCAAATATACTTGCAGTGGCATCTTGCAGTTGCAATATGGCACACAGCTGGGAGAAAGTGAAAAGGCTTAGAGAGAAAGGGGATTTGTTTTGGTTTTAAAATTATTTTTTAATGAAGAAGGAAACATAATCAGCAAACTAACTGGTACCTTTTTGATGAACAAAAATCATAAAATTATAGAATCATACAGTCATTTAGGCTGAAAGGGATCTTTAAGATCATCAAGTCAAACCATTAACCCAGCGCTGCCGATTCCACCACTAAAACATGTCCCAAGTGCCACATCTTCATGTCTTTTAAATACCTCCAGGGTTGGGGACTCCATCACTTTCCTGGCAGCCGTTTAAATGCTTGACCACCCTTTCAGTGAAAAAAGTCTTTCTAATATCAAAGCTAAACCTCTCTCGGCATAACTTTAGGCCATTTTCTCTCATGCTGTCACTTGGTACCTGGGAGAAGAGGTCTACTCCTGCCTGGTTACAAACTCCTTGTTTGTAGAGAAGTTGTAGAGAAGGAGGTTCCCTCTGAGCCTCCTTTTTCCCAGGCTAAAGATCCCCAGCTTCCCTTCCCCAGCTCCATTGCCCTTCACTGGGCCTGCTCCAGCGCCTCAGTGTCTTTTTTGGAGTGAGGGATCCAGAACTGGCCTCGAGGTGCAGCCTCACCAGTGCTGAGTACAGAGTGATGATCCCTTCTTTAATCCTGCTTGCCACACTATTGCTGATGCAGGCCAGGATGCCATTGGCCTTTTTGGCCACCTGGGCACACACTGGCTTATGTCCAGCTGCTATTGACCAACACCCCAGGTCCTTTTCCATTGGGGCACTTTCCAGCCACTCTTCCCCCCAGCCTGTGGTGCTGCCTGGAGTTGTTGTGACCAAAGTGCAAGACCTGACATTTGGCCTTGTTGAACCTCACACCACTGGCCTCAGCCCATTGATCCAGCCTGTCCAGATCCCTCTGCAGAACCTTCCTGCCCTCCAGCAGATCAACACTCCCACCCAACTTGCTGTCATCTGTGAACACACTGAGGGTGGACTTGATCCAGATTATTAAAATATTAAACAGGACTATACTAGCCCCAGTACTGAGCCTAAGGGAACACCACTGGTGTCCAGCCACCAAGTGGATTTAAGTCCATTCAGCATTCATATCATTCAAAGAGAAACATACCCATGGAAACTCCTGGTTTATCACAAACACTGGAGAATCAAAATTATTCCTCTAAGAGTTATTTAGTGGTTAAATAGAAAATCTTCTTGTATCAGAGAAATGCCTGATGTTTTGTTGTACACTTAGAAATTGGGTCATAAATGTTGTATTTGAGAAGCAACTTTCCAGATCTTCGGACTCGCTGTTTTTTGAATTCCCAAAGAAAATTACAGTTTTGTTGTTTAAGTGCAGCTCCCTCCTTGTCCCAGGAGAACCAGAAAAGCAAGGGATTAACACCCTGTCTTACAGTCCAGACACTGTAAATGCTCCATAGTCTCCAAGGCTTTCTTCTATTGAATGTGGTATAGAACTGTGAGATTCTTACTTAACAGAGGCTGGATTTTTAAGTCTGTAGTTCTGTTGTACTAGTGAGGTTTTATTTCAGTGTAATTTCATTCTTACAGGTGAATATTTTTCTCTATAAATAATGCTCGTAATTTCAGCATATTGTTACCATAAAATATAATACACTGTTTATTGGCTTCTCATAAAATTCTGAGTATATTTTTTCTTGCCAAATGTAGCAAGGCCCTTTTTATTAGTCTAAAGTATCTTTGGCATTCCCTTCTTACGCACACACTTAAGAGTGTGAGCCAGATCTAATCTCTGTTAAATCTGTATAAATGAAGAATAACTCCATTGTTAGTGGAATTTAATCTGCATTGTTGTTTCCAGAAGGGATTGGGGCTTCTTATTGGTTTGTATTTTCTAAATATCAATATCAAGCTATTTGATCTGATGATTTTTATCACTGTTTATTGCCAAGAAAACATCAGAGGACCAGAAAGAAAGCAAACAAGCAAAAACAAATCAGAAAAGCACTAAAATCCAAACCAAAAGAACTGAGCCTATTTGGAAAGTTAATTGTCAATTATCTACTTTCTGGTATTTTTAGAATGTGACACTGCTGTACTTTCACCCCTAGTTGCAGGGACAAAGGAGAAAGGGAGCGAGATTGTTGGAAGAGCTGATTCTTGCTCTGACAAGTCTTAATCTGTGGGTCAGAAAGGCTCAAACCTGCTGTTGTGAAGCCAAGAGTGACTGTGTGTGCTGGCTTAACGTTAGCATTTTGTAAGAATTCCATGTTCTGCAGGTACTGTTGTTGGAGTTAATGAGAGCACTGCTTTCTCCTGGCCTACATGCAACAGATGTGGCAATGGAAAGTTGGAACTGTATCCCCAGGACAGGTGAGAGTCAGCATGCTCCAGAGCACTCCAGGTGTTTTGTAGATGTAGCCATAAGAGCAGTAGGTGATGCAATGATTCCTGCAGGCACAGGCTGCACTTTGCTCCTTCCTAGAGCTACGACGTAGTATTTTTATTGCTGATGAACTGATAAAACCTGCAAGGTTACATTAATATATTAAGAAAGATACAAGTAGATATGAAAAGGTTTGATTTTGCAGTTATTGTGCTTTTTTTTAAGCAAATCTTGCTTATAAAGGTTTCATAGCCCCCTGTATTATAATACTGCTTTTAATAAAGATGCCCATAAACTACATTTATTTTTAAGTTCTTTTAGAAGCAGGTACATGTGTTTGTGTGTCTTACCTTGTTAATCTGTGTATCCCAAATTCACCTCATTTTTATACTTGACTCTGCTACAATTTGTCGAAGTATGAAAGAGTTGCATTTCAGAACTTTTAAATTAGTCACCTTTCTAAAAGGGATGTTGGATAATTCTGGCAGTATGTCTGTCCTGAATGTGAAGGCTGATCCCACAGGACCTGTTGCCACCTGAAATTCTGAACTTATATCACACTGACATAATTTTGGACAGCCTCCCCTGCAGCTGCCTAGCCAGCTTGTGCTTACAGAGTGTGAGATAGCTGGTGGAATAGAAACCCGAGGATAAGAGCAGTCAGAGGGGGGAGGGGGGGAAGGAAGGAAGGGAAGGAAGGGAAGGAAGGGAAGGAAGGGAAGGAAG